GCAGTTTTGATCTCGCTTGGGCCACAATAGCAAATGTAACTTTGCCAGCTTGACGTACACTTTCCACATGTTACCACTATGCCGCAGTGTCATAATTGCCACTGGGCTAAGGGTAGACGGGCATTTTTATGCAAGTCATTGTCCTCTCATCTATAGTTCTCTATCGATGAGTCATATTTGTATCTTGCTTATTCGTGCCTAGTTGGTCCCAATACTCTCAGTTTTGTGAACTGTGTTCACGATATTACTCGAGGCTTAGTAAGTAGTGCTAAAGACCCACTGTGAAAAGCTCAACTATCGCATAAACGGACCTCATGTTACTATCGTTCTTCCATTCTGAATACTTACAAAAATAAAACCCCATTTTTACTCGATAGAAGTTTTGCTAAGGTTTGAAAGACATCTAGTATTTTTAGTTTTTAAGTAGTGTTATATAAAATGTATTCGCCCTATTTCTTTAAGGTGATTAAAGACTGGTAGATGAAATTTCCCACGAGCATACGAGTAGACCTTTCGTTTCCATTGAATTTCACATAACCTTGCTTCCCAATCCAATGAAAACGCAAGGTCTACTTATATTATTGCGGGAAAATTCAGCTATCAGTTCGTCGTCACCTTAGATCAAATATAGTAAGCACATTTCATATATATGATAGTTTCAAAACCCTACTTATAAACGAAAATAAATCAAACCATAGATATAAAGACCAAGATGGTCTGGCATTCTGTTTGGTCGTAGTTTCCTTTAACTTTATAGTAATGATTCGACCTTGTTTTCGCAATTTAGACGAAGCATCAGGAAGATCCTAACCTAGTCCCGTGTCCTCTGTCATATTATTCGTGATTTCCTCCCACTCATGATGCCGATTAGGATGCCGGCGAAACTATTTGTAATGTACATAGGCAATGGTCCAATATTGGAAATCACGAATACTATGGTTACACGTTACCCCTCCTTATAATGATAACGTTTAGCCACTTTATGCGCGCAGCCTGGGCTCGTATCCCGTCGGGGGTGTTGATGGAACCAGACCCAGGCCAGGTCGAAACTGCCGCCTAGTCGAGATGAGAAAACCTTTTGGGTTGTATGAAGATAACGTGAGGATGAACGTACTATAAATGGTCAAATCACGTTAAGCGACCCTAAATGGTTAAGTTTTAAGTCAACTTTGTACATGAGTATTTGTCTGCCATCAAATCTGAAAGTGCCTTTTCTGGTGTGAAAACGGCCAAAATATGTCACTTTTCTATATTGAAACTTTTATACTCACCCGTTTAGGCCTTCACAAAATTGGCATAATCTATATTTAATGAATTGAGGATTTGTGGTGAGACCTCGTTCTTGAATTCATTTGTGGACAGGAAGACGGTAGGTAAAGCTAGGCCTCTTCGAACGGCTTTATTCGGCAGTACGACGCCACTAATAAATAATTTTACCTAATTGAATGCTTATTTTTAATTATAATTATCCGCAATTAATTAAAGCAAAGCCTTAAGTTTACAGTGGAACTCACTGATCTATTATCATTCAGTTTATCGAAATATTAACATCCCCAGACTAACCCGGAAAGTGAATGTCAGGGCCCAGTTGTTGTCTTTCAGCCTTTACTATTAAGGAAGGGTTTAACAAATTGATGTGCATATCAGAAAATTGCTTCATGACATATTTTAAGGTTGACTGGCTTTAAAGAGAGCTTCAAACCATAATGTTACAGTTAATCGAAAGTATGAAGGCCAAGATGGTGTGGCCTTTTGTGTGGTCGCAGTCTCCTTTCAGTGTATAGAGGTTGTTGGACCTTGTTTTCGCAACTTGGTCATATTGGCAGGAAGACTTAGAGGAACGCACCTAGTCTGGCGTCCATTGTATGCATCATCATTTCCAGAGTAGGACCATGGACGTGGTACATTCCCAGACGTTTCACCGGC